TTGTTCCAAGTTTGTATTGTAGTTACTTATTTTTAATTTTACCCAGTCTCTTTTTCTTGATTTAATCATATTGCATTATAACATCAAAAGAGCAGAAAATTTTATCCTTCAGCAAAATGTGAAAATGTAATATCCTACAATTAAAAATTGTGAATAGATTCATTTGGTTAGTTTCAATATTTCAAAAATTCATTTGTTTACTTTAATAATTTTAAAGCTATTACTCTCTTTTGTTTTTAAATCTTAGGAAGTCCATCTTTATTTTTTCTGTGCTAGATAATTTATTCACCCCACTTTTGAGTGGGTGGTACTAGAACTCAGATCTTTATTCTTTAATGGAAGTAAAGTGTTACAGTAGTTGCCTTGCGTTCTGAAGGATCAGCAGAATAATTCTGGGCTGTGGAACATCGTCTACTGAGAGAATTGCAAAGGCATGGATCAAAGCAGGTGGACAGCATTAAACTTCTTGTAATTATAAGGTAGATATTTCTGCTTGCTTGGACATCGAGATATAAATCATGGAATTTAAAGTAACACGACTTTCAGCACAAATTGCCAACAAGGTGGTTCTACTGGGTCAAAATAATTTTTGTATAATTATGGGGTTGACTTTCTTAAGTCCATTTTTATTTTGAATAAATTATAAATGTCTCAGTTAATTTCCATTACTATAATAAAATAGTTGATGCAATTAACTAATAAAGGAAAGACCAAAGACTAATTTTGGTTCGTGAATCTTCATATTTCAGTCTAAGATCAGGCAGTCCCGTCAGCCTCAGGCCTCTGAGGGGAGCAAGGTATCATGGCGTGTGCTGGGGTAATAAGAAAATACAGTGAGGCTACAAGACTGTGTTTTTATTATTCCCCTTGAGGACATGCCCCTGGTGACTTAGAAAACTCCCCCTAGGTCTTCTATCTCCAATAGACCAGTAGCTTTCAGCAACGCCACCCTGGGGATCAGACCTTACCACATAGTCAAACACGGCGACAATTGGCTAATTTTATTTAGGTCAGAAAGAGGTGACATGGAAATGCCAAAATACTCAGGTCTTTCCCTGTCTAAACACAACGGAACAGACCTTTCCAAGAAGTAGATGCGTCCTTATCTTGTGCTTGAGAAAACACCAAAATGCTATCAGCTGTCCTCTGAGTTCAATTTCAGATATTTAATTAAGGTCTTCCAGAGACTATCAGGACAATGCCTTGATTCAGTTATCTCTGAATTTTTATAGAGCTTATTCTGAAGAATGACATGACCAATGTCTATGATTATTACACTCAGGTCATAAAATATGAATTAAAAAAAAGGAAAACAATATGTAACTTAGACATGTCAAGACGGGTTCATTTTGCAGATGATAAAACTGAGCCCTCAACATGACAAATCATTTGCCTAAAGTCTCTTTAACAAAATTAAAAAAAAATGAATAGAAAGGGCTAGACTTCAGTAAATAGTCTTAGATTATCATAGTCTTGTTTTTCTGTAAGACTTTCTAGAATATTATACCATGCTATTATTGTATGTCCAATAAAAATCTATCATCAAGAAAATTTTATGTAACTTTATATTAAAAGTCCATATAACATTTCACGGCCCTTCTGATGTAGCAAAATAAAACTCCTTATGATTCTCAGATAGATTTTGAATTATGAAATAGAGAAGGTTTCTTGGAGGAGGCATTGATAAATATAAGGATGAGAAGAGCATCAGGAAGCAAATGTCTGTGTCTGCTGGAGCCCATGACCCAGTTGGAGAGGGAGACCAGTCATGGGGAGGCAGCTCTGGGCCCTACTCAGCTTGTCAAGCTGAGTCAGGGTGGAGATGGCCTTCAGGGGGAAGGGAAGGATTTCTTAATGCCATTCTATGGGCAAATCTGCAGATCATTGTGCATTTTGAGGCAAAGAGTCACCAGATGGGAACAATATTTAGAAAGATTAATCTGAAAGTGGGCTGTGTAACAAGGATCGCCATGGCAGGGGGACAAGGCTGTACAACGGAAAGGTGTGATAAAGGCAGCCTGGGAGGGTACCTGGGGGATATTTCTGGGGTCCAGATGAGAGCTTTTCTTTTTCCTTTTTTCCTTCTGTCCAGGTATCAACTTGATCCACTGGGCAAATGGAAGACTCGGCACTTGACCTTTTCTTTTTCCTGGGACCTATGTGCATTTTCCATGCCGCATTTGCTTACGGTGCACATGAAAATAATTAGGCCCATCTTGCAGGATAAGCAATGTTACAATTTTTGGAGTTTGAAAATAACAGTGATGATAACATTAGTGGCAGTCATAATCTCAATAACCACATCACTGGACCCTTCCGTAGCTCACCATTGCCTGGCGCTCCAACTCGTTTCCAGACGTGAGGCAGGGCAAGGTCAGAGCGGGCCCGGAGTGTGCCTCCGGCCAGCTACACGCTGTGCGCATGCGTGCGCTGCACAGCACTAGGATCAAAGCATTCTTTCTCGCTCCTCTACCTCTTCTCCCTACTGCTTGGCGGCCTTCTCCTGCAGGGGGTCGGGCTGGCCACATTTGTACTCTCAGTGCCCAGCTCTTCTATACAAAGTTTTCTTTGTTAATCAGCAGAAGTAAAATGCAAATCTGCTCCATGTACAATGAGCTGCTTTGAGAAGGACGCGCGCGCGGGGACACTGATATGATGACCTGGTGAATTTCCAGATGAGGAGGATCAAAACATCTTGGTTTTATTGTCTAGAGATTAGCATTTAAGAGATTTTCTGTGTGTGTGTGTCTCTGTCTCTGTCACTCTCTCCCTTCCTTCCTCTTTTCTTCTAGCCCTCTCTGTCTCTCTCCTTCTCTCTTTTCTTCTCTCCTCCCTCTCTCCCTCTCCCTGTCTCTCCCTTCTCCTCCCCTCCTCCCCTCCTCCCTCCCTTTTTTCCCTCTTTTTCTCTATGTGTATTCCAATTCTCCTAGAGGCCAACGTCACTGTGCAATGCACTTCTGCAATTCTGTTTCCACATTCCTATCTGAATCATCCTTCATAGTTTCGTACCAGCACACCAAGGTTTTGTTGTTGCTGAAACAGTAGGGTTTGTCATCTGTGGGTGCCTTTGGCTGGCAAAGGGGCTTTAACCCCCAGCCTTCTCCCAGTCCCCACTGGGCCCTGCCTGGGAGCATGGAGACACATTCCTGGTGTCTGTGGTGAAGCTAGAGTGAACGGAAACATGAGCCTCCCCTCCATCATGTTTCTTGGCAAGATAGTAATAAAAACTCAGTGGCACTCATCCTCTCTCCCAGGTTTCCCTATCGCTTCTTGCAACCCTCAAGCAAAGAGTTGGGAGAGGTGCATTCAGAAGTGGTCTCTTGAAAACCCAAGCAGTCTTTGGCCATAAGTTATACTGGAAAACCCTTTTGTGGGACTTGGGAGGCAGTTTCTGAATATTGAGGTAGGGGAAAGGACAGAAGACGATAGACCTGTGTTGTTTCCCTTAATTCTTCCTTCTTTTGTTATCACAGTAGGTATCAAGAAGACAGTGGCTTTATTTGACCTTTCCCCCACGGGAGTAGTAACTATAATGGGTTTAATTAACTATGTGGTATTGACGTAATTAGTTATCATGGTGATTATACTTCTTTAATAAAAGCACTTCATTTGGGATGCATCAGGGTTCGGCAGCGGCCCAGCCTTTCACCTATATTTCATAACTGTCTAGACACTGGAACCATGCGCATATTTTACTAGCAGCCCTTGAGAGAGGTTATCTTGCATGGCTTAAGGTAATTGGGAAGTAATGATTTTGCCCCCTGCTTTCAGAGTAGCTTGTGGCAAAGAGCGGAGCGGCTGTGGGGGAGGGGCGGCCCCTCATTTTGTGTAAACTGAAAGGGAGGGGGGGGGGAAGGGCTGTGTTTTGGAAACCACAAGCTCTTAGGAACTGTTTCTTTTTTTTAAGCTAGCCATCAGAGAGACAGGAACACCAGAGGGAACTGGGAAGGGGGTGGGGGAGTGTTTAATCTATGGTTGGATTGCATGCATCTCTTTAGATAAATGTACACAGTGCATGGAGACATATGCTTGTATTAACAGGAGTCCTGGCTGCCCGGTCCACGAACAACCGCAGCCTATTTTGGTCTGAACAGTAGATGGCTGCTTAAATTTGGTCAGCAGGTGACTGGCGGTTGCCCCTTTCACACGGCTCAGTGGACAATGAAGTCAGATGCTATGAAAAAAAAACAAATAGGGCAGCGCTAAAAGAAGACCCAGAGCATTCCAATAATTACCATATGAAAATGTCAATAATAATATCATGAGACCCCCCAAAGAGGAAGAGAACAAGAGCCAGAAAGATTACCGGGCTTGCAGAGAAGGGACCTCAGGGAACGTGGTGCCTAAAAACCCTTCCCTACTTTTTCTTCCCTGTTTAAACTTGGGTAATGGACTGGGAGGGGGAAGGCTGGCGCAGGGTGGTATGCGGGGTGGGAGGTGGGGGAGAACCCGAGCCGAAATAGACATAGATGCTGCTGAGAAATAATAGGTGTGCCGTCTCTTGCAGGGAGAAGCGTTATTTCTTTTTCTGTCTCCTCCTCTCCCCGACTCTCCTTCTTTATTCAAACAGTGCCTTCCCCCGTCACCTCCCCCTGCGGTGCTGAGCGGCAGAGTCCCCTCCGCACCTCTCCCTGCCTGGATAGACAGACTGAAATCACTGCAGGCATTCGACTGCTTCCCGTAGCCCCCCCGGAAAGGATCCTGTGGGTCATCTCAGAGCCAAGACTAGAAACAAGCACCTCTGGAAAAAAAAAAAATAATAACCCAGTGGATGTGAAAGATGCATTTCTGCAGAGGTACCTGCCAGCAAGGCTTGTCCCTTTGCCAGAAGGGGTGCTGGGCAAAAGCCTCTATCCCTCATTAAATCAATAAAATCAAGTGTCCTTTATTTTAATCTTCTGTGCTATAATCCAGTATCAAGGAGAGGGGCCCAGGCTTTTTTATCTCATTGTTTCAGAACAGATCATTTGGAAGGGGGTGACAAAAGGCTCATTCCTTACCTTTGTGGAAATGTCAGGAAAAGGCAGGTGCTAGGCATTTGGACTCTTTGGCTCTGTAGAAGAAGAAAAAGAAAGCAAGGGGGGAAAAAAAAAGTGGGAGAGGGGAGGACCGGCGTGGGGGAGGGGTTTCTGACAGGCTAACTACATGTACTGGAGCTTTCTAAGACGTTTTGTTTAGCTTGGTACTGTGTGGCAGGGAGGAGAGAGGTGGAATCTTCTCTGTGTGCCAGCTGCATGAATCACCGGATTGAAGGCTAACAGCCTCAGATCCTCTCTTTATACAGTCGAGGGGAGATTAAAGTGGGGAGCTCATATGTCACAGAAGAGAGGTACAATGCAGTTAGTTCTGGCGTGCTCAGTACGCTCAGCCGGCATTTGATCCAAATTTAGCCAAAGGGAAGGGAAGGTGTGCTGCTATCAGCCCGGGGTGTGACAAACGTTGGGCGGTAGTACCCAAATTTTCTTTTCTCCTTCCGAAATGTCATCTCTCCTTTATCAGCCTTATTGTGAGGAAGCCTATGTAGAGTCACAGACCAACTGGAAACAAACACCCAGCCCCTGGCTGAGTGATTCCACACCTGCCTCCCTCCTACTCCGTGTAATTGATCCACAGCAGAGGGAAGTTTTGTAGCCGGGTCTTAACCACCTCATTTGTTTAACAAGTATTTACAGAGTGCTATAGGACTTACATTTTAGAAGCTAAAAGGGATATGCAAGGAGTTGGGCATGTTTTTTTTCCTATTCTCTTCAAGCTTGAAGTCTTATTAAAGAGATGAAAGACAGAGGGACACACCTCTACACGTGCGCGCGCGCGCGCGCACGCACACACACACACACACACACACACACACACACACACACTTGTGGTACTAAGCACTTTTAGGAATAATCTATGTTGGAATCTACACTACAAGACCCATGTATCATTATATTGTCATCCCTACGTTATAGTTAAGAAACCCGAGCCCAGAGACAAAAGTAACTTGCCCAGAGTCACACAGTCAATGAGGCAAAGCAGGACGATAAACCTGTAGTCACATCTGTAATCTGCTGGTGAAGAGAGACCAAAAAAGCCCATCAGCCTGGACCTTTCCCTTCCCCTGTTGCTGACTCCTGTCCCCAAAGAAGCTTCCAGGCTCTCGTCTGTTTCTAATCCCACTGGACAAGCAGGTCCATTTTCTTCTGGTTCTTTTCCCTCAAACAAATTTTATGTTCAAGTTAAATATGACCCGACTTCTAGAAGACTTCTCCTTGGCAGCTCATCTGAGGCTGAATAAGTCATAAGTTGCGGACATGAGTGATGGTCTGTTTGAGGCCGATGCAGCTCCCATTGTCTTTCTTGCTAGTACTCTGATCCCCAGCACAGGCTCCTGAGACCCACTGAGCATGTGCCCTGCCTCCCATATCTCTCACAACTTGCTGCCTTTGTTTTCACATAGAGGCAACTTGAAGGGAGATGGAGAGCCATCTGTGATGTCAGGGACTCCAATTATAATTGAGCAGTAACCTCTGCTCCTTGTCTTCAATTCTTCTGGCTCTATTCAAGGTGCCACTCAGGCCATGTGCTTGTAAAGTCCCCCACGTGATCAGTAAAGATCCTGTCCTATATCTCACCAAGGACATTGGCATCATCCAGCATGCCTTCCCTCATGTCTCTTCTGGAATACCTTCCAGCCCCACACCTGCACCCATTCCTTAGGAGAAGCAGCTCCTTGCCGCCCTTACTGTGTGAAATGGCTGGGTGCTTTGAGAGTTGGCTTGGAGCTGCATCCTTTTTAGCCTTCAAAATCTTCCTCACCCCATCTCAGAAACCTCAAGAATTCCCTGATTACCACTGGATTTATTATTTGAAAAAAAATTGGAACTAAGAGAAGAGCCTAATAAACAGAACTGTAAAACTGAATAAGGTTGGCTCTGTTAAGAACTTTTTTGTTTACCTATTGATGGGTTTCGTGGAAAGAATCTACATGCTATGAGATACTAAGCATCTTGAGAAAGATGAGGACATTTGAGGATCACAGTCCTTAGATCATATCACATTATGAAAACATAAAGCCCACCCTCAGGTTCTCAAAATGAAACCTTCTGCCCAGGAGCTGGTCCCATGCTTTTAACTCAGGACACACATTGGTCTCATGGTTATCTGTAATATCTTCTAGCTTTTTAAAACCTCTACTTCCTTCCTCTACATGTGAGCACCTGGGCACCCCTCATCGGACTCTGGTGCAGACTTCTGTCTCTGGATCCCTGTATTTACTGCACCCCACTTCAAGGACACATGCCAGATTTCAGTCTCAGGTTATTCCTTAAAAGATGGGCTGATTTCAAATAGATAAAATTAAAATAAAACTGATACCATTTAGATAATTTATGTATTCATACAGAGGCACACAGACACATGTACACACATACACACACAGGGGAGAGAGAAAGAGAAAGAGAAAGAGACAGAGAGACAGAGACAGAAACAGACAGAGAAATGATGGGGGGTAGTTTTTGAGACAGAATTTCACTTTGTAGTCCATGATAACCTCTACTCTGGGATCTTCCTTCCTCTAATTTTTGAGTGCTAGGGATTTTAGGTATGTGCCATCATACCCAACTTTCAATTTGGGTAAATTTTAAAGAAGTGTCTTCTCAGCTGCTCTGTGGTGGTGCACATCTTTAATCCTAGAAGTTGGGAAGCAGAGGCAGATGGATCTCTGTGATTTGAGGCCAACCTGTTCTACAGAGTTTCAGGACATCCAGGACTACACAGACACCCCCTCCCCTAAAAAACAACAACAACAACAACAACAACAACAACAACAAAACAACCAACAAACCTAAGACCAACAAAAAAAGAAGTGTCTTTTCAAGCTTTTATCTACTTTCTGACTGCATTGTCTCCTTATTGAACTATCCGAATTGTTCATTGTACTTACTGTAAGTCATGTATGAGGTATATGTGTACATGTTTTGAAAATACTTTCACTCACTCCATAACTAATTTTTTTCTTTTCTTGTCAGTATATTTGAAGGAGCCTATTTTGTATATGGAAAAAAAATGTGCCTATCACAAGATCATAAGGACTTTTTTCCTAGAAGTAATAAAATTAGGCTTATTATTGGTGTGAGTTGACTTTTGTATATATCATGATTGTATGTGTGTGTCTGCGTGTGTGTGGTGTGTAGCCAACTATTATAGTGCCTTCTGTTATAAGAGTCTTTCTTTTCCATACAGATTTACCTTAGCACTTTTGTAAGCAATCAGTTGACCATATCAATATGGGCCTATTTCTAGACTCTATTTAGTTTTCCTAAGTCTATGTCTATTAGCAGGCTAATATCACACCATACCCTCTCGGTTCTTACAGCTTTATAGTAAAACCTGAAACCAGCAGGTGTAGATTCTTCAATATTGTTTTTCCATTTAAGCACCAGATTTGACTCGCCAATCTGCACAGACTAGCTTATGTTGATTCTATGGAATTATTTTGGGAGCCCTGACATCTTAATCTTCATGTTTTTAATCCACTAATGTATGGCTCTGCATTATACCTGTAAAGTGTTTCTGCCAGCCATGATAAGATCCAGTATAGAGGCTGTACATTTATTTTTGGCAAATTTATTCTGGCACTTTTGGAATGTTGCGTGCTATAAGTCCTTCTGGAACCTTCTGGAGTACACTCTGCATCCCACCTTGGTGATACTCTGAGCAGCAAATGGCAGGCTCACTTGGCCTATTAGACCCTACTTGCACTACAGCTTGTAATGAAGAAGCAATTGTAGAGATTATTCCACTTGTTTCCTTTCTTTCAGGAATTAGAGTCTTCAAGTACACGCTGTGGACTATTTTAGTTATTTGTTTGATGTTAGGAGGATAAATCTGGACTCTGTTGAACCATCCTGGCCAGAAACAGAATTCTCATCTGTCATTGAAAGGCTTACCAATTCAACACAAATATGACACACTTATGAAGTCACCTTTCAAAAATGACCCTCAAGCACACTACAGATTTCCACTTTATATTGGTCAATCTCCCATGAATTTCTTCCTTTCCTGTCAAAGTTGTTGTTTGCAATTCTTGGTCTTATTTCCAATTCAAGCCTCATTCCTTCCTCTTGTGGTCTACCAAAAGCACCATTACATTTCACCAACTCCTTAAATTTCAAGTTGTTTGTGAACTTTTACATTTGTTTACTCTTCCTGCTTTATTACAAAGTCCTGCTTTAAAATAAAAAAACAAAAAACAAAAACAAAACAAAAAAAATTGTCTTGCTTTCCCTTACAACCACTGTGCTCAAAATTTTTCTTATCTCATATCTTTATTGCACAAGTGTTCTCAACATGGAGCGCCACTGGAGCCCCGACCCAACTCATATTGCATCAATTATCATTCACTGCCTGAATAAGTTTACAAAAGAAAATGCAAAACACTCAGATTGGATTGTGTGTCATAAATAGTCAAACTTTACCCAACTTTTCATAGATTGTTTTCCACCAGGATTTTCTTTATAATATCTTTCTTTTTGACTTTTGTACCCATTTCATCGTTCTTACTTAACACTCCCCATCACTGTGAATTTTTATTTAACTCCCACTTAATAATGATAGAAAGGTGCTAACATTAACCTTTCTGGAAATTTGGGACTGATTATTTACTTCTGAAACCAGCATTCCACCAGACAATGTCTGAAATTGTTAGCCATTCATTTGAGATGGTCTTCCAGTTATTGTGAGTTATTTTACTGAAGCAATCACATCCATATACAACAGAGCAGGAAGCCAAGCTCTAAGGTTTAGCGTCCAGCCATGAGTTAATCTCTCTCTCTCTCCTCTTTCTTTTTCCTTGTTACCCTTTACATTAGAACCTTGATTTATTAGGGCTGTAGATTCACCACACTGAGAATGAGACTGAGCAGACAGAAGGAGAAAGGGGGATGAATGTCCAATACCTCGTAATAAAAAAGTAATGGTATCAAAATGTAGATAATTTTTTAGGTTTGGGCAGAAACTCAAAGACACATACATACTCCCAAGGAGTCAGCCGTTTGTACTTTTGTTGTAAGATTTATAAACATACTGATTAAAATAAAAGTGTGTTCATGGGCCTTGTCTGTGTTCAACTCTCGGCTCTGAGCACACTGAGATGTGTGATTTAGGTACTTTGTTCATTGGCTTCTTTATGCATCAGATGGGGATAACATTAATCCCCACTTAACAAGGCTGCCGTGAGCTTTAAATGAGATAATCCTCATGTCAAGTGGGCTGATGGAAGAAAAATATTATGTCTTGATGATATTTCCAACCTGCT